GTGGGAGTGAGTGAGTGTTGTAGAAGTCTGAAGGAGGAGTGTTCCAGAGCTGAGGAGCAGACCGACTGAAGGCTCTGCTCCCCCCATGGTGAGGAGATGGACAGAGCGAACAGAGAGCTGGAGAGAGGAGGAGGAGGAGCGGAGAGAACTGTTGTAGGGTTTGTGATGTGGTCAATGGAGCAGCTGAGTTTTGGATCAGTGGAAGTTTATGGAGAATTTCTGTGGGAGACCAAACAGAAGGAAACTGCAGTAATCCAGACGGGAGGTGACAAGGCTGTGAACAAGGATGGCAGTGGAGTGTGGAGTGAGGGAAGGGCGGAGGTGGTGGACGTTGTGGAGGTGAAAGTAGGAGGAGCGAGTGATATTGTTGATATGAGAGGTGAAGGAGAGAGTGTTATCGAGGATGACACCCAGACTCTCTACCTGAGGGGAGGGAGAGATGGAGGAGCAGTCGGTGGAAATGGAGAGAGGAGAGATCTTGCTTAGGGTGGATTTGGTGCCTACAAGGAGAAGTTTGGTTTTATTGTTGTTGAGTTTGAGGACGTTTGAGGTGAAACAGGATGTAACTTCATCAAGACAGTTGATAAGGGAGGAGGGTGGGAGTGTGGAGTTTGGTTTGATGAAGAGGTAGATCTGGGTGTAGCAGCTCCATGTAGCAGTGGAAGTGGATGTGATGTTTCCAGAAAATGTGTTCACAGGGGAGGAGATAGAGGATGAACAGCAGGGGGCTGAGGACAGAACCTTGGGGAACAGCGGTGGTGATGGAGACTGGTGAAAGAGGTGAAAGATTTGAGTTGAATGAACGGGGTGCGGTCAGAGAGATAGAAGTGAAACCAGGAGAGGGCTGTGCCAGTGATGCCAAAAGAAGAGAGTCGATCAAGAAGGATGGAACAAGAGATGGTGTCAAAGGTCACACTTAGATCAAGCAGGAAGAGGATGGAGAGTGAACCAGAGTCAACAGAAAGAAAAAAACAGTTTGATCTCCTCTGTCATAAGAAAACTTACCAAGACTCTGGACTGAATGTGACTTTTTATTGGACTGTTTTTGTCTTTTTATGTTTCAATTGTTGACACAGTTGATGCAAGTGTCTTTTCAGTGCTGTACTTAAAACAAACTTCACCAAATTATGTGTGTGTTCATTAATAAAGATTCAGATTTTGACCACTACTGACCACCACTGACCACTACAGAGAGCAGAGCTGGAGCAGAGGCACTCATATCCAAACTCACACAGTGACCTTTGACCCTTTGACTAGGCCCTGAAATGGAGAAAGTCTAAACCTAAATATGTTTCATTGATATTTCCTGGTACAGAAGCACAGAAAAGAAAGAACCCAGGTTCTGATCCAAAGCAAAGACACGACATTATAAATAATGAACACATGAAAAGTGTGACTAAAGATCACATTTTGAACTCACTGTGACTTTAGGGGAACAACTAAATAGAAACTCAAGTGATGTGAATAAAATGTGTTTGCTGGGACCACAGGGATGTGTTTTTGTCCTTCATTCTCAATATTATGAAGACAATATGTTTCATTTGAATGTAGAAATGAAAACAAGAGTTTGACTCTGAGACTTTTTCAGCTTTTGAGTCCTGACCAAAAGTGAGTCACTGTGAACAGGACAAGGACAGAAATACATTGATAATTAATAGAATCTAAACATATATTGTATAAAGATTCTAGTTTGTGTAAATGTGGCTTAATAATGAATATTCTGTGGTGATGTTGGACTAAAACAGTTGAAGGACAGATCAACAAGTGTTTTTAATTTAGTTGCGTTGCGTTAAAATTATATTTTCTAATTTTAAATTTTTTCTTGTAACTCTAAATGCATAAATCATTCAAACAAGTATCAAAAGTCTGACTTTAAATCAGGATGAAGTGAACAGAGCTGCAGACCAACACTGTGTCCCTTTAAAGATCAAACTTTCAAATGATCATTAGTGTTACCTTGAAATTATAATGAATTTATAAAACAAAATTCCTGTTGTTAAATGTTTATTTCCACCTTGATATTTCTCCTGTTTTTGTTTGTTCTTTGTCTTCATATTTTTGTCACTTTGACACTACAAAGTGTTTCATTCTACACTATCACTAACATGACTTTAGAACATGACTTTGATTCATTCAAATGGTTTTTACATAATGAATGACTTTACAAATGTATTTATTATTATTATTATTATTATTATTATTATTATTATTATTATTATTATTATTATTATTATTGTTGTTGTTGTTGTTATTGTTATTATTTTAGCCTGGGCTTAACTCTCATTTGATTGTGTCTCAGTCTGAGTTTAGTGAAGTGAGTCAGTTTCAGTTCAGTCTGAGGAGGTTTTTGTACGAGTCTTTTTCACTGTGTGAACAGCCACTGACTGTTGATGGTAGTGAAACTCTGACAGTAATACACAGTGTAATCTTCAGGCTGAACTCCACTGATGGTCAGAGTGAAGTCAGACCCAGATCCACTGCCTGAAAAACGACTGGGACACCTGAGGCTCTGTTAGATGTAAGATATATAAGAAGTTTAGGTTTCTCTCCATCTCTCTGTTGGTACCAGTGTAAGTAGCTATTGCCATGCACATTCTGGACTGACAGTACAGCGTATGTTGACGGTGTCCCCCAGGGCGGCCCTCACTGCTCCAGCCTGACTCACTGTCACCTGTCCTCTGGACTCTGAACACACAAACACAAAGCACCTGATGGTTTAGTCTGGTTGGTCTCAGAGGGACGGATGTGGACAGAGGACAGCAGTGGGACTCTCTGGACTTTACCTGTGAAGCAGCAGCAGAGGACAGTCCACATGAGGACGCACACCAAAGTCATGTTGGTGATGAGGAGGCCGTATGTGGCTTGTGTTGTCATGAAGGACAGCTGCCAGTGCTCCAGAGTGCACCTCTCAGGACTATAAAGTGTCCCACTGGACCATGCAGCTGTTCATGCAAAGTGTTTGTCTATGGAAATGAGGCTCCCACACAGACATGGAGCACACTGAACAGCTGCAGGGTCTGTGTCATGACTGTATTTATACAGCACAGATACAGTACAGGAACATAGAATAAAATCATGCAATTGTAAATATGTAACAGATTAGTTAAATGCATAATTTAATTCAACCCAAATCTTGTGAGAATTCAAAGGTTTAAATCTAGTTTAAAACACAGCAGCAGAGTGAGAGTTTGTGATGGGAGTTGTCAGAGAGCTCCAGAGAATTGGGCCATAGTACATGAAGGCGCCCTCACCAGATCGGGGCTGTATTCATGACACTGTTCAAAGTTGTTGATTGGATGAACGGAGAGGTCTGAGTGGAGTGACTTCTAAAAGCATGTCACAGATGTAGGAAGGAGCCAAAGCATGTGGAGATTTAAAGAGCAATAATAACATTTGAAAATCACTTCTTTGTTTAACAGGCACCAGTGAAGTGACAATCAAATGGGTGTAATGTGCTCAAAGTGCTGAGTTTTGGTTCCAATTCTAGCAGCAGGATCTGGAATGAACTGGAGTTTGTTTAGTGAGTGATTATTAAGACAAACATAAAGTGCATTACAACAGTCGAATCCAAACAAAAACATGAACAACTTTCTCAACATCAGGTTTGAACAGGACACTTCTGACCTTACAAATATTATGGAAATGAATAAAAGTGATTTTACTAATATTTAAAATACTTTTGGGCCCATGACCACTACTGGCCACTACAGAGAGCAGAGTTGGAGCAGAGGCAGCACATACACAAACTCACACAGTGACCTTTGATCTCTACGACCCTAAAATGTTTGAGATTAAAAGCTAATCCTAAATCTGTAAATATTACTGATAGAGAACCACATGAACGAAAAGACACAGGTTCTGTTCTCACCATTTTAATATAAATAACAAAATGATTAAATAAACTAAATTTGAAGAGTAAAGTGAACATTTAGTAAAGATTATATTAGTAAAGATTATCAATTGTAATTTACAGGAAGAAATAAATATGAATAAAATGTATTTGATAAATGTGAATGTTGTGGATAACAGGGATGTGTTTCTGCTCCTTTCATATTCAAAACAAACTTTAATTCAGCAAAAACAGATGAAACCAGATGATTCATTAATATTACTTTTCCAATGTCTGAAAATATTATTCAGGTTAAATACTTTCTACACAAAGATACTTTAGTTTTTGAGTTCTGACCAAAATGTAAGTCAAATGTTTTCCAGACAAGTGCATAGACACACTGATATGACCTTTTGTTCATTTAGTCGTTGTATTGTGTGAACATTATATTTCCTCATTTTATCCTTTTTCTTGTGGACAATTATCAATGAATAATTTATTAAAACAATGATCAAAAGCCTCGATCTCAATGAGGATGAAGTGAACACAGCTGCAGACCAACACTGTGTCCCTTTAAAGATCATTTCAAATCTTTCCTTGTGGAGGACCTCAGGGAAGTGTTTTTGTCCCTTTCTAATTCATTGTAAAACGTCTAATATGTTGTGAATAATTTTATATTGAATAATTGAGTGTGATAAAAATGTGACTTTACACCAGGACTAGTAAAACACATGTATTACTATAACTGAACCTGACAATAAAATTATCAATCAAATGATCGTTTTAAGTGTTTAATTCCACATATATATTTATATTCAACTCCTATTTTAATTGTGTTCTTCATCTTCATATTTTCTTTTATTCATCATCAGCATCATTCATCCATTCAAATATCTTTTTTTATATGTGTGTGTGTGTGTGTGTGTGTGTGTGTGTGTGTGTGTAACATCAAGTATTTGTCAAGTATTGTCAGTAATTATCAGTTACTCATGTAGATATGTCTGTTAAAACATTTTTCTTGTAAACAGTGTTTTTCAGTTTAAATGTGTAAATGTGAGCTGTTTGTCAGTTGTTTATCAGTCTCTGTACAGCTGAATGGTTTTGTGGTGTTCTCTGAGCGGCTGCAGGTTTTTGTACGACCACTCCATGAGTTTGTATCACTGTGGTACATGTTCGGTGGAGGAACCAGACTGGAGCTCAACTGTAAGTCATCTCTTTATGTTCACTTTAAATGACACTTTGGTTTAGTTTGTGATTCATCTGTTTCTATTTCTGAAGCCTGACATCATTTGATTGTTTTCTGTTTTATTCTAAATACTGTTTGGAGTTATGGGTGAGCAGTGTCTTCTTATCATCCCCACAGTAAATATAAATTAGTGACTTTAAATTTAAATTTAATTTAAATATTCCGTTTATAGAGAAATATTTTATTCACGCTGTAACTTATTAAAGTTTAAGTTTTTATTAAAATTATTTTTTATTTCTTTTTTCTGTCCAAATTTTAAATTGTTAAAATGTTGTAAGAAAGAAACTAATTATTTTAATTATTAGTATTGATATTTGAAAAGAAAACAAAAAAACAAAAAAAATGTGGATATGGATTTTTTTCTGTGTTTAATTCTGGGGATTTTTAAAAAGTTTATCTTTAGTTCTGAAACTTTTCTGTTGTTCCGCTTCACTGGAGTCTCTCAGTTCTGTTTTCACTCATTTCAGTCTGAAAGTTACTTTAAAAAAAGAAGAAAAAAAAAAAAGTTGACCTAATTTCTGATAATTATTCTACAACAATACATGTTTTTATGATGACTTTTCTTTTTTTTTTTTTTCTTTTTGAAAGTAATTAAAGTCCAAGATTACTGGTGTGAGGTCCACCACCTGAAAATGTTTTTGCTTTACCTGGAATGTTCCATAGAACGATTTCAACACTTTCATCTTCCATTTATATAATTACAGTTGTTTGTATTGACAATTAAACTGGTTTGATGAAGTCACCTTTTGTTATTTTCTGGATAAATAAAAACTTGTGTGTGTGTTTGTGTGTGTGTCCACAGTGGGCGAGTGGAGCCCAGCCTCTGGGTGCTGCCCCCCTCCAGAGAGGAGCTGGCCCAGGGGAAGGCCACCCTCGTGTGCCTGGCCAACAAGGGCTTCCCGTCAGACTGGAGCGTGTCCTGGAAGGTGTCCGGTGGCGGTGCGGGCGGGGAGCAGAGCCGGAGCCCCGCGGTGCTGCAAAAGGACGGCCACTACAGCTGGAGCAGCAGCCTGACGCTCCCCGCACAGCAGTGGAGGGAGGGGGGCGTGGCTGTGAGCTGTGAGGCCAGCCAGGGCTCCCAGAGTCCAGTGTCCCACACACTGAGCACACTGCAGTGTTCCCACCACTGACACAGTCACTGGGATCAGCCTGCAGAGCGCCCTCTGCTGTCAGCTCACGCCTCTACAGCTACAGCTCCACTTCACTTACTGCAGCACAGCACACAGGCCTCTGTCCCAACTGGAGCTTCTGCTCCAAATAAAGAGCTGTGCATCAAAAGCATCTTTGTGTCTTTACATCATTTCAATGGAATTCTTCCTTTTTTCTATCACACACTTTAGTGTTTGGAATAAATGTAGGTTTGAGGTCAGGTTATGAGGGTTGGCTTTTCATTCACTTGCTTCATATGTGTATTTATAAAAGCAAAGCTTTGACTTCAATATGTAGCTGCTCTTCATTTATTCTTACAATTTTTAATTGAGTCTGTCTCTGTCGGGGAATACGACTTTTGTTTGATGTGTAACTGCTGTATGAACAAGGGTTCACAGATTTGTAATATTTCTATTATTAAATGACGCACACAGTATCTGCAGTGTATGTGTCAAACTCAGTGAAGTGTGAACAGTTTCAGTTCAGTCTGAGGAGGTTTTTGTACGAGTCTTTTTCACCGTGTGAATGGGTAGTATCTACACTGCTGACAGTAATAAACTCCTGCATCTTCAGCCTCAAATCCACTGATGGTCAGAGAGAAATCAGATCCTGAACCACTTCCACTGAAACGACTGGAGACTCCAGAGTGAGGAGAAGTAGCAGCATATATCAGGAGCTTTGGAGGTTCTGTTCCTTTCTGAAGATACCAGGCGAGATATTGCCTTACATCTGTACTAACCTGACACCTGAGAGTAACAGAGGCTCCTTTGTCCACAGCTGCAGCTTTAGGAGTCTGAGTCAGGCTGTAATCTCCTGAAGAACCTGAAAAACAGAAGAAGAGTTATTGAGACAGACCCTGCAGGTGTCCAGAGGAGCAGTGCTGTGACCCAGATGTCCTCACCCCGAACCAGGAGCCCCAGGGCCAGCAGGAACAGCTGCAGGGACATCAGGCTCATTGTGTTGTTGGTGTGGGAGTGGCTCTGAAGGGCCCGCACACACACTGAGCAGCACTGGGCTCTTAACGGCTGGAGCAGAGAGGCAGCACACATATGCAAAGTCACACAGTCAGAGGAGACAGACACACAGCTCACACTACTGCCCCCTACTGACCACTACTGACCACTACTGACCACTACTGAACACTACTGACCACTTTATATCATTTTATTTATCTTGGTTAAATGGGCACACCTGTATCTATCTGACAAGCAGTGATGTGTGGAGGTAAATGATATTGAGTCGTTCTCTCTTCAGTTTACAGCAGGGTCACTCAGGGGTCATTTTGAGGCGTCTTCTCTTCTTATTTCATGTTCATGACCTGACTAGAGTTTGCCAAAATGTGAACTCAATATGTCTTTATGTATGACACGTGTCTCGTCTTCACAGATGCTCAAAGTATCCAAGAGTCTGCTCTTCCACTCTCTGCAGCTTTAGATGATTCACAAAACTGTCTGACTGATTCATGTCTTGGTCCTAGTAAAGATCTGACATGGAGGGAAGAAATAACAAATGTTGAGGAATTTAAATCCCTTGTGTAGTGCACCTTAAGTATATCACCACAGAGGTTTTTGTTATTTCATTTTTTTTTTTTGGTAATTTGGTATTTGGTATAGTAATTTAATATATGTTTTTATTTTGGGTAAATTAATACTAAGTTTACATTTGAACCTGTTCACGTGTCATTAATAAGTACTGTACTGTAACTATTGTTTTTAATAAGGGATTAGAAATGTATTGGTGACACAGAACATTTATGCCAGTGGCGTTGCTTCAGGTTGGGTTTTATGGCAAAACTTCCTCTTTGCCACAAACACAATCTGGACGTGAAAGGCAACGCTCTGTGTCTTCTTTTCATTTACTAATATTAAATCTTTCAGGTCGGAACACAGTAAAAATCAGCCACATATTACACTGTAAGGTCATGACTTAATGTTTTATCCGTATGTAATACTGTTAATATGTTTATTGGTCATTTTCTGCTTCTATTTGTGAGTTTGTGGTCAAGGTTTAGATCAGCAGTGCAAACACACGTGGTCTGAAACATGGTGATACCACATTAGATGCAGTGTACAGGTTTATTTCACTTTTAAAAGCAGCTGCATGCACTTTGTTTTGATTCTAGTATCTAAAACAAAGTACCTGTGAGTTCATGTATTTGGCTTTGAGACAGTTCAAAGAACATTTGCAAGTTAAAGGGACAATACGAGAAAAAACAAACTCACATCGTGACCTTTGACCTTTTGATCAGACCCTAAAATGGTTCAGTGTCAGATCAGAGCAAAGCTGAGGCCTGCACATGTTCTTTCACTAGTTTTATTTTTACTGAAACAGAACCATAAAAACAAAACTACAGACCTGTAATGACTTGAATAGATATAAAAATAATAAATACATAAAGAAGGAAGAACAATGTGAATCAAATGTTTTGAAGTCAAATGTTCATTTGTTTTATTTGTTAGTTTAACATTTTTGAATGGAGTTACAGCTTCACATTCACTAACTGTTGCTCTTATACATTTTTAGTATCAGTTTGAATTGACTCAGGTTAAACATCATCTTAGTTTGTGGATGAATTTTAAACTTTTTTTAATTCCATAAAAATTACCTCAACAACACGTGTTCTTATCCACTGCTTTCATCTTCCTATTAGAGATGACACTGTGTAAGTCTTTTAGCTGCATGTGTTTAAAAAGGCCACATCAGAAACCAGAGCTGAGCCTTTCAGGTGTACAGTTCTGGTAATCATATAACAGTGTTGTATTTAAAATGTCAGTATTTGTAATGACTCCCATAGAGCTGTTAGTTGTGTGTAATATGGTCACAGGGAGCAGTTGTATCAGAACAACAGTTTGTGTGCTGCTCGCTGTGGACCTCAGGCGTGTGCTTTTGCTTCTTTTGTGTCTCATACTTAAATATTGACATTATTAAACAGTCCTGCACAAGAGTATTTTTGATTCACTACATGAACAGTTTGTTGAAAGAAAATACTCATCCTCAGTCTTTTTCGGGGAATATGGCTGTTGATCGATGTGTAACTGCTGTTTGAATCAGGTTTCATAGTTTTTTTTTTAGTATTTTCAACTCAATGAATAATGTATCTCCCATTGTGAGACTGACTGGGGTGAGGCCTTCCAGCTGCTCAGTCTTTTTGGAATGGATGGAGTTATAGATACATTTTAAAGGTTCTTTTTTATCACACACTATCATATTAGTAAAGTCATCATTAAATAATGAACACAGTATCTGCAGCGTCTGTGTCAAACTCAGTGAAGTGTGAACAGTTTCAGTTCAGTCTGAGGAGGTTTTTGTACGAGTCTTTTTCACTGTGTGAACGGTGTGCTGTAACCCTGCTGACAGTAATAAACTCCTTCATCTTCAGCCTGAAATCCACTGATGGTCAGAGAGAAGTCTGTCCCATACCCACTTCCACTGAAACGACTGGAGACTCCAGAGTGACGGTATGTGGCATCATATATCAGGAGCATTGGAGGTTCTGTGCCTCTTTGGAGATACCAGCCAAGGTCATCAGTTATATCTGTACTAGTCTGACACCTGAGAGTAACAGAGGCTCCTTTGTCCACAGCTGCAGCTTTAGGAGTCTGAGTCAGGCTGATTTCTCCTGAAGAACCTGAAAAACAGAAGAAGAGTTATTGAGACAGACCCCGCAGGTGTCCAGAGGAGCAGTGCTGTGACCCAGATGTCCTCACCCCGAACCAGGAGCCCCAGGGCCAGCAGGAACAGCTGCAGGGACATCAGGCTCATTGTGTTGTTGGTGTGGGAGTGGCTCTGAAGGGCCCGCACACACACTGAGCAGCACTGGGCTCTTAACGGCTGGAGCAGAGAGGCAGCACACATATGCAAAGTCACACAGTCAGAGGAGACAGACACACAGCTCACACTACTGCCCCCTACTGACCACTACTGACCACTACTGACCACTACTGAACACTACTGCCCCCTACTGACCACTACTGACCACTATTTGTTTTATTTCTGTGTTACAAGACTTGCAGTGATCTTATTTTATCTCAATCTATAATAAGGCAGCCGACAGTTCCACATGTGCACAAACTGCCCTTATTTTTCACTGAGCACCTGCCCCCAAAATGTCGGTGCACACCACTGGCTCAGAGTAACTAAAGTTCTGAGTTTTAATGACAATGACATTATTGTTTGTTTGTTGTTGTTTTTTTTATTCAGTGTGAAAAGTATCATTTGTGTTTTAAGATGAAAAATAATGTTCATTTACAGAAGCTATCAAAATCAAACAGAATAAAAAATTGGGAGTCCAAAATCGAAAGTTGAATGGAAATTGTTCCATCTCTAGTTTCCATTATATTTTCTTAATGTTTCATTTTTCTTGTAACTCTAAATGAATAAATCATTCAAACAAGTATCAAAAGTCTGACTTTAAATCAGGATGAAGTGAACAGAGCTGCAGACCAACACTGTGTCCCTTTAAAGATCAAACTTTCAAATGCTCATTAGAGTTGCCTTGAATTAATGATGAAATTAAAAAACAAAATCCTGTTGTTAAATGTTTATTTCCACAGAGATATTCCAATCCGTGTATCATTCGTTCATTTGTTTTTCAATATAAAACCAGAAATAAGAAAATGAAAAAACAACTGTTTTCTTCATTATTTGTCTCCAAAACCAAAATGAAAAAACGGATAACGATTTGTTTTTTCAGTTTTGGATTTTGTGTTAAAAAAGAAGAATGGAAAAAACGGATAACGGCCGTTTCCCGTTTACGTGACTCCCGTGACTGCGATGCCGAACTTTGCACCGCATACGGACTGAACCAGGACTGATCCAAGTCCGGGACCAGACCGGAACCAGACCGGGACTGAGACCGTGACCAGAGCGGGACTACTGTAAGACCGAGACCAGCGGTCCGAGCGGTTCCGTGACATCCTTTACGCTGTTTCCGTACAGGAAACGTGAGAATGCGTTGTGGACTACAGGTTCGGACGGGCTGCTCCGGTCCTCCGCGTTCAAGAACCACAGCTGGTTCCGAGGTGGCGCAAAGCATCCGGACAGAAGCGTGAATCCAGTTTAAGCACTTATTAAAATTTATGGTTTTAGGGGGGAAGTTATTATTTATTTTATTTTTCAGTTCAAATTTTTAGTTTTTAAATTGTCGTAACACAGAAACATAATTTATTTATTTATTTATTTATTTATTTTTAATTAATTAATTAATTAATTTTATTAATTACTAATGTCGATATATATATATATATATATATATATATATATATATATATATATATATATATATATATATATATATATATATATATATATATATATATATATAAAAAGTTGTTATGGACCTTTTGTTTTCTTTGTACATTTCAGGGGATTTTAAAAAGTTTATCTTTAACTCTGAAACTGTTCTGTTGTTCTGCTTCAGTGGAGCCTCTCAGTTCTGTTTTCACTCATGTCAGGTTAAAAGTTACATTTGTACTGAAAAAAAAAAAAAAAAAAAAAAAAATACTTCATTTCTGATAATTCTAGATAACATTACACATATTTAATTCTATGCTGACTTTCCTATATATTTTGGAAGTAATGAAAGTCCAAGATTACTGGTGTGAGGTTCACCACCTGAAAATGTTTTTGCTTTACCTGGAATGTTCCATAGAACGATTTCAACACTTTCATCTTCCATTTAGATAATTACAGGTGTTTGTATTGACAATTAAATACTGGTTTTGATGGAGTCACTTTTGTTATTTTCTGGATTATTCCATGGAGAAAAACTTGTGTGTGTGTTTGTGTGTGTCCACAGTGGGGCGAGTGGAGCCCAGCCTCTGGGTGCTGCCCCCCTCCAGAGAGGAGCTGGCCCAGGGGAAGGCCACCCTCGTGTGCCTGGCCAACAAGGGCTTCCCGTCAGACTGGAGCGTGTCCTGGAAGGTGTCCGGTGGCGGTGCGGGCGGGGAGCAGAGCCGGAGCCCCGCGGTGCCGCAAAAGGACGGCCACTACAGCTGGAGCAGCAGCCTGACGCTCCCCGCACAGCAGTGGAGGGAGGGGGGCGTGGCTGTGAGCTGTGAGGCCAGCCAGGGCTCCCAGAGTCCAGTGTCCCACACACTGAGCACACTGCAGTGTTCCCACCACTGACACAGTCACTGGGATCAGCCTGCAGAGCGCCCTCTGCTGTCAGCTCACGCCTCTACAGCTACAGCTCCACTTCACTTACTGCAGCACAGCACACAGGCCTCTGTCCCAACTGGAGCTTCTGCTCCAAATAAAGAGCTGTGCATCAAAAGCATCTTTGTGTGTGGAGCTGCTGAGACACACACTTCAATAAAGACTCTCTGCACTCACATGTGACTACGCCTCATCTTTTGCTTTCTTCCTCTTTTTTTGTACTAAATAAAAAATATAAATAAATAAGTAAACAAATAATTACACAGTCTTTGTAACAATAATATATTTTTAAGATATATTATTGCTATAAATACAGCTTCATGGTTCAGTGACTCTGGCCCAGTGGACCCTGCAGCTGTTCATGCAAAGTTTCAGACATTTACATGAGAGGAGCCTCTAGAGAGCTGAGATCAGGAACAGACCAGACTCATGAGAAAACTGTGGAACTACTGAGGCCTGAAGTAGAGTCTACTCTACAAACTGAAACTCTTTTGCAGCTGTACAAAATGAACAGTTGTGAGAGTTTTACTAAACTACAATTAAGTGGTTGTTATTAAAGACGTTATCAAAAACCTAATCTTAAAAGGGCAGGACTTGTCTCATATTCACTCTTCTGTTTTCTCGAACCTCATCTGCAGATCCTCATCTACAGTCTACAGGGTTTGGAGTCACTGATGGACTTTGACTTGAGACCTGATTTCAGTCTAATCTAGTCCTCTTCCTGCTCCACCCCCTGCGTTCCTGTCCCTCCTCCCCACTCTCCACTGCTCTCGTTGGGGTTGGAGATTTGCATAAACCCCCCTCCTTCCAGGGACCTGGTTAAGACCTGTTTTCTATCCTTCGTGGGTTAGACCTGGTTTGAATCCGATCTAGTCCTTGTTTCTGTTCCAGCCTCCTGTGTTCCCGTCCCTCCTCCCCGCTCTCGGACGCTCTCGTTGGGGTTGGTGAGTTGAGTGGACCCCCCCCTTGGGCCTGGTTGTCTGACTTCTGATCCACTTTGCGGCTGTGGTGCTCCCTCCCATGTGACGCACGTTTAGCCTGACCTGTCTCTAATGCTCTAAAGGGATTGGCCTGTCCCCGGATATCTCTTAAGAACCTATTACCTGGGCTCAAGTCATTAGATCCAAGATACCAACTCAACTCAGCTCTGCCCCCTAATGGCAGCTGCACCACGAGAGGAAACAGAGAACAAGTACAGAGCTGACAGGAGCAGACAGGAGCAGACAGGAGCAGACAGAAGAAGACAGGAGCAGACAGGAGCAGACAGGAGCAGACAGGAGCAGAAAGGAGCAGAAAGGAGTAGACAGGAGCAGACAGGAGCACACAGGAAACAGTCAGGAGAAGACAGGAGCACAAAGGAGCAGACAGGAGTAGACAGGAGAAGACAGGAGCAGACAGGAGTAGACAGGAGCAGACAGGAGAAGACAGGAGCACACAGGAAACAGTCAGGAGAAGACAGGAGCAGACAGGAGTAGACAGGAGAAGACAGGAGAAGACAGGAGCAGACAGGAGCAGACAGGAGAAGACAGGAGCACAAAGGAGCAGACAGGAGTAGACAGGAGAAGACAGGAGCAGACAGGAGTAGACAGGAGCAGACAGGAGAAGACAGGAGCAGACAGGAGCACATGAGAGCAGACAGGAGCACACAGGAGCAGACAGGAGTAGACAGGAGCACATGAGAGCAGACAGGAGTAGACAGGAGAAGACAGGAGAAGACAGGAGCAGACAGGAGTAGACAGGAGAAGACAGGAGAAGACAGGAGCAGACAGGAGAAGACAGGAGCACACAGGAAACAGACAGGAGCAGACAGGAGCAGACAGGAGTAGACAGGAGAAGACAGGAGCAGACAGGAGCAGACAGGAGCAGACAGGAGCAGACAGGAGCAGACAGGAGTAGACAGGAGCAGACAGGAGCAGACAGGAGTAGACAGGAGCAGACAGGAGAAGACAGGAGCACACAGGAGCAGACAGGAGTAGACAGGAGCAGACAGGAGCACATGAGAGCAGACAGGAGTAGACAGGAGCAGACAGGAGCACATGAGAGCAGACAGGAGTAGACAGGAGCAGACAGGAGCAGACAGGAGCAGACAGGAGTAGACAGGAGCACATGAGAGTTGACAGGAGCAGACAGGAGCAGACAGGAGTAGACAGGAGCACATGAGAGCAGACAGGAGCAGACAGGAGCAGACAGGAGCAGACAGGAGCAGACAGGAGTAGACAGAGAGCAGAGAGACAGAGAGCAGACAGGAGCAGACAGAGAGACAGGAGACAGGAGAGACAGGAGCAGACAGGAGCAGACAGGAGTAGACAGGAGCACATGAGAGTAGACAGGAGCAGACAGGAGCAGACAGGAGCAGACAGGAGCAGACAGGAGTAGACAGGAGCACATGAGAGTAGACAGGAGCAGACAGGAGCAGACAGGAGTAGACAGGAGTAGACAGGAGCAGACAGGAGCAGACAGGAGCAGACAGGAGCAGACAGGAGCAGACAGGAGTAGACAGGAGAGACAGGAGCAGACAGGAGTAGACAGGAGCAGACAGGAGACAGAGAGCAGACAGGAGTAGACAGGAGCAGACAGGAGCAGACAGGAGCAGACAGGAGCAGACAGGAGCAGACAGGAGCAGACAGGAGCAGTCTGTCGAGTCGGACAGTGAATATACATTACTAAGTCTGCAACAAAAGATTATTTTAGTAGTCAACAGAGTTGGATGTAACTTAGTTCCTAATACTTAGTGTAATTAACATACTTTATAGTTACACATTACTGTAATTAAATCACAGTTCCTAACAGAATACTTATTAGGCACCCACAGAGATGACTTGTGCTGTCAGGTGTCACCTCAGAGGCAGAGAAGCAGCTGCAGATGTTACTCGTGTGATCCATTTGAGACGTTTAAACATTCACTCATTTTCTGTGTATCTCTATTCAAATGTCTTCAATAAAATATAAAAGTACACATCTGACTCATTTATGCAATATTACAAATAATGTCAATTCAAAGTAATGTCACTAAGTTACAGACAGTAACGACATGTGTAATATATTCCATTTATAAGTGACTTGTATGGAGTAATTACTTTTTCACTGCTCGTCAGCACTGGTAGTGAACACACACAGTGACACTTTTTAAACAGTCTACATTATCAGTTAAACAAAGGCTGAAATCATAGACTGTAAACAGAAGTGAACTAGGCGAGTGTGACGTCAGCCATAACATGCGGTTCCAGTCAAACGAAGCTCACTGAGGCTGGCAGTTATAGGAGCGAATTTGGAGCCCAGTTCCACATTAGAAATAGAGATTTATTTACCGAACAAAATAGCTAAATAAAAGCACCAGGATCATGTAGAGCAGGTTAATACAAACATTTCAATACGAGCTGAAGGCTTCTAAATTGAAAATATTAAAATAATAGTTTATTTTATTTTGACTTTTTGATTTAATAAGGCAACTGTGTTTGTTGTAGAAGGTCTTTTCATATGATTTTAGAGTCTGTATTGTTGAAATAACCATTATTCTTTAATCGTCACGTTTAGTTGACACATGGGACTGTTTATTCACGTTCACATTAATACAACCCAGAAACTCAGCTGATATAACAAGTCGCAGCTGCCCAGGGACAAGACATTTTTGAAGTACCAAATACTACAAAACTTCCTGTGTTTTTCTACGTATAAACTGAAGGTTTAACCCAGAGACACTGAAGGATGGGTCAAATGCAGAGGACATACCTCCCTATACGTGACAGTAAAGTATATGTTACCATAAAGAGTAAAGGGCATGAACAACAACTTTCTACCACCTTTCTTTAATGGGAGTGAGCAATGTGTCATACTTACTTTTGATCCCCGTTCTACTTCCCCTGGCTGTTACCAAGAACAGACGTGATGTTTGGCGACCAACAAAGATCTCACACATGTCGCTACAACATATTAATCTGCTTCTAACCCCGTGTAGCTTTTCAGTTCTTGGTTGGTGTAGGACGATGTCGAATGAATGAAGTAGAAGTAAATATGTGGATACTAAAGGTTGGGCACAGAGCGAGCGCTGATTAGACTGACAAAGCTCCATCGGAATTAGATCCGGATCTATTCCACAACCCAGAAGGACGACTTTAGCTTTATACCTTTCTAATGACGCTGATCTGACGAGCTGGAGATTTCGTGCAGTTTTATGGCATTTGCACTGTTTACAGTCGCCATGATTATATTGAAATAAACTGAATAATCCCAGTCTTGACCTCCAGTATGGCCACCAAAACATTAAATCACGCCACATCACATGCAAAGCCTTAATTACTCAAGTTTTATACAGTAACTGAAGCAGCAATAAAAGGTTCCATAAGTCTATTTGGACATTAAAGGGATAGTTCGGGATTTTTGACATAAATCTGTATGTCATCCGCGTGAGCAGTGTCGTGCATCCACACTGACTCACCCCCGACAGCGTCCGGTGAGCCCGAGATACTGACCGTTTTTGGTGCTGACGAAAGTAGTCCGGCAAGTTGTGCTGGGGACTGTATAATAAAGCGTTTTTCTTCTCAAAACAACATGTGTTCAAAAGAGTGATACATTTGCATCACAAAACCATCGTCACCTAAAAAGTCAGACCTCATTATCGCTTGGCACTATTTTCTTTCCGTTCGTATCACTGTGCGCTGCCGCCAGGTGACAGCCGCGCACGGATCCATCACTTTCTGCAGTTGTTCGGCAGTGTTTACATGTGCAGACGCCGCGACGCGAGAGAGCTAACGTGAGAGCTCGAGCCATAAGTAGCTTGTATAAGATACATATGAATATATCTAAAAAATGGTGCAAACTCTTGATTCTCCAGGCTGTAACAACAAAAATCTGGCTGAATCTCCACACACATGTCACCGTTTTCCTGTCACGGACTTTGTGCTGAGGAAACTTTGACTTCTTGCCTTTGGCTTCAACGTAGAAACCAAACCAGGTAAGAACGAAGAAGTGCAGCTGTGTTTACAAGACGACAGGCTCAAGAATCAGCTGTAACTCTGTGTGCAGTAAATCACTCAGTGTCATATCACCAGTGAAGCTTCTACAAAACGTAACTTTATAAGTCGACTGTTATTACTATTGTAAATGTCTCGTACACTGTTGGCA